AAAGCTCTATGTGAATATTAGCAAGAAAATAAATTCATATTAATTTTCACTGAAAAAAAAAAGTTTTGCTTATGATTCCAATAAGAAGATTTAAGACTTTCTTCTGAAGTTAATTATGTGATGCTAGTAAAGGCAATATAAGTGATTACATTGTCATATTGGCATTTATTCCAACAAGCTCTGTAATTTTAACTATGGCTTTATCTGTGAAGTTAAAACTTGTAAGTTAAATATTTTTAAAAGTTATTTTGGAAATTCCAAGTAGGACTGTGTTTTTTCAAGACAGCATATAATTATATTAGCTATAATCCAATATTGTTAAATTGTCAGTTTATATACTTGCATTTTTAATTCTGCAAAGATTGATTATAAAGGACATTGGTGGTAAATTAAATTTACATAGAATAGGTTTTCTTTGATCAAACCCATCATTTTTAATAGTTGAATTACATTAATATTGTATTTGTATATGAATGAATAAAAATTATGCAGATTTTCTAATGAAAATTTAAAATAACCTCATTAATATTAAAGTATAATTATGAATAACATTGTAGTTCTACCTGAATATCTATTCCTTTTAGCAAAGAAAACATTTTTTCTAAGCTGGACTGTAACTGCTTTATATGAAAGTAGTAGCTTGTGCATTAGGATTGACAGTTCATATTTTGAAAATATAAACTGCATCAGTAATAACAATTCTCTGATTCAGTAAAACCCTGCCCACATAATACATCTGTAAGAATTAGAATTAAATCCTGACACCAGTGAAGTGAGCTGTTGAATTTGTAACTAAGGTTTCACCTGTAATTTGTGGCCGATGTTCTGCATGTGGTCACACATGCTGACTTAACAGTTCTTGGGTTAGTGCTTTAAAAACACATCTGATCCTAAAGTTTCTGCCTTTTTAAAAAAAAATAAAATTCTTTTTTTCTTTTTTTTTTCTTTTTTTTTTTTTTCTGGATTAATTTTGAGCTTAGTCCTGCAGGGTGATGAATGCTCTTCATATGCCTGAAAATTGACTTCAGTTACTCTCAAGAGGGACAGTGCAGTGTTGAGCAGCATTTTTAACAGAGCATGCACACATCCTACTGTGCTGCCAAAAAGGAATGGATCAAGTGCTGCCATGTTCAGCTTTTTACTTTGGATGCATTCACTGCATGCTACGGTGATTTCATGCAGTAGTCAAGCCTGTGGGGAATTCCATGTATTTATGGTGTTCCTGAATGTAAGGAAAAATTGGATCCCAGGTTTTTGGCATACTCGGATTTCTGCAGATTATTAAAAACGTGGTGTCTGTTTGAAAAGCTTAGAGCCTAAAGCAGAATGGATTTTAATGCAGGAAGATACTGTATCGGGTAGCAGTTAATGAGAGAGACTATCAAGATGAATTTCAAAAGAAAATTCCACCTCTAATGTTATTGAGGTGTTCCATACATGTCTTCTAGATTTTTATCATGTGACTAAGAGCAAGGAGAAATCCCTAGGTGTGAGTTGTTGTTTAATGCAGGAGGAGAGGTAATTTTTGTGCACTGTCACAGTGCTTCACGGGCTTGGGCTTGCTCTTGTGGGATATCAGAGGGGCTACCAGCCTTCTTGAACCTGCATGTCCAGGAGCAGATCAAGGAAGATCTTTTCCTGGGGTGGCTTTTCCCAGCTGTTCATCACTAGGACCACGCTGCAGAGGGATCCCAGTGTCATGGTGGTGTACAGTACCCTGTTTTCCAGGCAAGGATTCTGGGCACTACCTGTTCTGAAGCCAAGAGTGAGGAGCAGAGTTGACTCTCTCCTCCAGCACCAAAAGCCTAAGCTACCAGATTCCAAAAGCCATCAGTTCCTCCCCATATCAGTCCCATGTGTCCAGCCAAGCAGTCAGAATGTGTAAATATTAAAATCTGTAAATTCCAAGCTCTCAGCTCTGCAATCCGATGGCAATATCGAACCACCAGAGTTTTGCTGCGTATTTAAACTGACTGGAGTATAAAAGTAATTCACATGCATTGTCAAAGTAAGTGATGTAAGGAAAAACATTCTCCTTTTATTATTCACTTGTCAATTCAGTGTAGCAAAGCTATTTTAAGTGTACATGAATTCCTGTAACACTTCCAATCTGCTACAGAGTTCAGCAACTGTCTGGATATAGGATCAGTATGGCCAGGACAATGTGCCAGGTTTTCACTCAATTAGGCATGGATTCAAAGTAGTACTCTGCAAATGTCATGGTTTAATCTGTATTTCACTGTTAAAGGCCGTTGGTTTTTTGGTGATTAATTTGCTGAAAATAATTTTTGTTCACCAGATGTGTTACAGCTTCATTTTGTGCAAATTAGATGGAAAAGCTTTGATTATTTTATGGTATCTGATTTTTGTCTACTTTTGTAGCAGCAGTAAGAGATGTTTTTCACAATTGGTAAAGACATTATATATAAGGCAGCTGGATTGCATTGTTTCAGGAGTCTAAATTAATTGCCTAAAACACATATATGACATTTCCAGTACTTTGGTTTGTCTGTAAAATTGAGAAGCTGAGATTTCAGTAGAATATCTCTTTGAACTGTGGCATTCTGTCTTGCAGCTACAAAGCAGGTAAACAGTTAATTACTTCCACTCATCTTAAAACAACAGCATTGTAATTTATTCCTAACTGAGATCGATTTGTATTCCTTGTCATATCCAGGAGAAGAGAAAAAAATATATAGAGATAATACTTCCATACTACAAGTCCATGTACTGCTGACATGGAATATGTGGAGAATTTCATACTTGAAGGAAGGAATGGAAAAATAATCTAATGTGTTGTTTATATGATGATGATATATATCTTTGAGACATATGTTAGCTCTTGGAGTATTGAATGCTCTCTAGGTGAAGATACATTGCTCAGTTTTTATAAAGATATTTTTATGTATATTTTGGATAAAAGCCCAAACTCCTTCAAATAGTTTGAGCTAAGGGATTAAGTAGGTAACCTGAAATTGAGGATGGATTATTTGATACCTGGTTACAAATAATTATGGACAGAAATAAGATATGTATTTCTTTGTAAGCTGTTGCACATTTCTAAAGATTGGAAAGTCAAATTTTAAGTGGGAAGCATTCTTGTTAAGTGAAAAAGTACTGAGAATATTTATCATATATTAAACTAAAAATGTGTGTGCTATCTTCCAAATGGGGATTAAGGATGTGGATAACAATAGGGAATAATGCAGAAATGGAAAATTGAAAGCAGCTGAGGCTGTGTCCTTTAGCCTTATGCTCTGAGATCTTACAAACTAATTTGGGTTTGCTATATTCATGGTGCAGTACTAAGAGGCATCATTGAGACATTTATTGAGTTTCTCAGTGTCCATTTTTGTTACTTTTCCTCTACCAGACTGGAAGTGTGTTATGAAGTGTGAGCACTTGCCAAGCTCGTGCTGTCCATGCACAGTTGACATTCATGCATTTGTGCAGAGTGAGACACATTGAGAACCTCAGTAACTCTGTGCAGAAATAAACCTTCACAACTGTGAACTTGTTGTATCCCTTTTCAGAATATATGTGTGAGCAGTTTTCTAAATGCTGCTGTATTTAACCATAATGGACATTGGCATTCCAGTTAGGTGAGCTTGATTAAAGTAATAGAAGATGAAGGATTTGTTACTGAAAAGTCACAAAGGTTGAAATAGGCTTTAAAATTATGAGAAGCAAAATAGTCTTGTGATGAGTTTTTTTGGTCTGCTGTTTTAAACCTGCAATCCACAGTCACTCTGCAGTCATTTAAGAACAAAGAATGAGATGGATACAAGTAACATCCTAATGATGCTTAACATTATCATACGTTGTTTTTGTAATGTAGATTTCATATTTCTGCTATCACAATTGGCTGATTCCAGTTTTTGCTAGTTTCTCTGTTTTAGATAACTCTTACAGGAGATGAAGGCATGAACATAAAGTCTGGCAGAGGAACACCTGAGATATTTCAATTTTGGCATTTGGTCAGTTCTTACAGTTAATAGGAGTGGTTTGAGTTGCACGGTGTCCGCTGTAACAATGATGTTAAAAATATTAAAATAAATTGTTCAGCTGGAAATGTTGGTTGCCCATTGATCATCCAGGGGCACAATGGTGATACATTTGTCTAATACAACTATGTGTGTTATTGTGTTCTGTAATGGTGGCAAAAAGACCTGCTGAAAAAACACTTAATCACTTCTTTAAAAAGTATAATTTTTAACTCCTGTTGGGTATTTTTTGTTTTGTTTTGCTTTTTGGGTTTTTTTTTATGGTCATAAAAATTCAAGTAGTTTGTTTCTTAAATATTAAGTTACATTCCAATTCTGCTTTCTTTTAAAAGACTTCCGTAGTAAAATCACGACTTTCATCAGCACAATTACTAGTTGATTTACTTTGGCATACCCTTCTCTGCCTAGAGAGACATGAATGACACACTTGACTGTTAAATGAGGCATTCAGAGACTTGAAGAAAATGGGTTTTCATCTTCTTTTAAAGTTAACCTTGTGCCAAAATTTTGTAGAGGCTGTGGAGGTGATTATTTCATATTGCATAAATGTCACTTCCTTCACGTAGACGTTTTGAAAGGACATTCTTTGGTCATCACATCACTTCCATTTTAGTCAGGTTTGCTCTTGGCCCAAATGGAAGCAAGCTACCTTTTTATTGTTTGCTAAATGAGGAAAATTTCCCTTATTATGTATAAACTGTGTCAGTGAATTTGTATTTCAGACATATGAATGAGAAATTAGCTAATAAATTTCTAAAGTGGGGAAAGATTACAGCAATACCTTTCTAGGAGAAATCATGAGAAGATACAGATATATAAAGATAGATAAAGAGATATATATACACACACATGAATATGTGTTATTTTTACCTGATATTGAATGATTAAAGATTATGTTGTGTGTCAGTAGGATGCCAGAGGAACTCCATAAGGCAGAAATGAAATTACAGTACATAAAATGGTTTTGCTTATTTTCTTCTTTGTTTTTTCTTGCAGGATTGTTCATCTTCAGAAGAATACAGCATTGCTGCAGCATTGCTGCCTCTGACAACTGCCTTCTATAGGGTAAGTTTCTATTGCAAACCACAGCTATTTTGTATTTGTTTTACATCACATACATTGTTAAAATGGAGAAAGGGATGATAGGAGATACATGACAGGTAGGAAGATTCATTCTAAAATATATAAATGTCAGTGAAAATCATCAAATAGACTGGCATGGGCATTATTCCAGAAGGACATTTATTGATATTGGGTCATTATGATGATGAGACATAACACCCAGAACTAAATGCAGGCTACATGATGGGTTAGAGAATTAGCATTGAATTATACTTAGTCACTAAAATAATAGAAAATAATAATTTCTGATGTTACTCTGTAAAACCTATTTATTTCAGTACTTGTGTGTTTAATTTGGCATGTTAAACATACACTGGCCAATTTAATGCAATGGCCACTGTAGTACAGTTGGCCAATAAAATACTTGGCCAAAAGTACAAGTTTTCAGTCTGTGTAATTGTTAATTTTGGAGGATATTATGAATGGGTTGTTTCAACTTTGTATTTGTTTTCAATTTCTTTTTTGGGTTTCTTTCTGGGGAGGAAAGTACCTAATGTTTGATAGTGGCAAAAGACAATATTACAGTAAATACAAAAATGTAAATAATGCAAATTTTATAAGTAGTTATTTCAGAAGCAGAACTCTTGTAGTATGACTGTATTTGTTTTAGTGTCCCAATACAGTAGTGTTTTCACCAGTTCTGGGTAGCTCCAGTCCTGCTTTTTAGGATGTGCATACCTGAGGAGATAAGTTCAGAATGTGGACTTGCTTGCAGTATTAAAGAAATTTTATTTAATGTGATTGTTGTTATACAACCCAGTTTGTGAAATAAGTGCTTAGTCATTGGTAATTGGTACACTCTGATATTGCAAAACAGTAGTTGCTTTGGCAGCTTATTTACACATTTGTGCTATAGAAATTGAAAAATGCAACCTTCCACTTTTCAGATGGCCTATGAAGCATTTAGGAATAGCCAGAAGTAAAATGCAGAAAGTTCCCTATTTTAGCTGAATGGAAACCAAGGTTTCTGCAACAAAAAGCTGAGAAATCAGTTATTTTTAGTTTAAATTATGTATTCTCATCCATTTCTGGGTTTTTTTTAACTAGAAATATATTCTGTCATGTTGTTTTTAGAATTAAAAATGTCGTAATTTACCAATCATGGAAACCAGAATCATCTGTTGAAATCAAGAGCAATTTTGACAAACTTAAATGTGGAGATTTCTTGACATTTCTTATTTAAACTACTACTTAACAACATGTGTAGAGCATGAAGTGGCAAAAAAGGAGGAAAAATCCTCTTCTAATTATTTGAACTGTAAAAAAGTTTTATTTAAATGTGTTTTAATTTAGTTGTGGGGTACATAATAACCCCCAACTGCTTTTAGGGAAGAGTGCACAGGGTGTTTTCATTCTCTTATGTAAGGTAGCATGGTGAGATGGTAAATTTTTCAATCCCATCAAATAGACTTTCTCCCATCTTTTGATCAAAGTTTATCTTTTTCTCTTCCCTCTGGTTTGAGTCCTTCAATAGCAGATTTGTTCTTTCACATTTGCTGCTGCCACAAATACTTAATTTGAGAGAAGAGCTAATGAGCTGCAGAAATTTCTCTCTTCCCTATTTTATTCTTACGACTGCATAAATTCTACATTTTGAAGAAACTTCTGTTTTCTTTTTATTTTTACTTGTTTTTAGTCTTGCTTATAAGAATAGCCAAGAGAGTCTACATAGCTGTTTACCTTGAGAGGTACAGGGAGTGTTTTGAGGTGTTATTGCAGTTTGGTTAGGTTCCTACCTAAGTTTGATCAAGCAGGTAAGCAAAAACAACCCAAACAAGACAATAAAAAGAGACTTTTAAATGTAGTATTAGGAGTTTTGAAATAAGCTTAAACAAATTTTGATTTCACCATCAAGCAGAGAAAAAATCTGGATTAAATATAAAATATATTTAGGTAATTTCATCTACACACTTATATTTTTTGGTAGGGGTACCAAGATCTCACGCCATTTCTCTCACAGAAAGTTCTCTAAAATCTTTTTTTTAATAGTCTAAACTATTTAACTCTAAAAATACACTCAGGAAACTGTGAGTCCCTGGATGGAAGAAGCATAATGAGTTTTTTAATGTGCCTGACCTGAATTAAAAATTAAAATAACCTGACTATTAACTTGCAAAAGCCAGCTGTTAATGCATAATAGAAAAAGAATTTTGTTTTTCCCAGATCTAATCCTCAGGTTCAGTGATGGTCCCCTTTGGTATGTCCCATTAGATACAATTCTTTGGCAAAACTACTTATTTTGGCATGCAACTATTCATACTAAACACAAACTGACACGCTGTTCAGAACATAAGATTATTAGACTAACTTTGCAGTGATTAGTTAAAATTCAGATTAACAGTTTAAGGTTCAGTCTGAATTGAATTTACACTTTTGAATTTTGGGGTTTTTTTAGTAAAAAAATTATACTTTTTGGAGGAGGATTTTTCAGCTTCTCTAGAGGTTTTCAAAATTGTGTCATAGACTAGAGTGAGTGTGACCTACCTGGAATGAACCTGTGCTTCAACAGGAAGAATTCTCTTACCTCTGCCATATGATTGTGTTGATGCATCCCAAGGATGAAGCAGAGTGCATTTGTTTTATTGGTGTTTCTCTTCTCAGAATATCATATTTAATGCCAGCAGCCTGTTAAATCTCATTTCACCCACCCCTTTTGAGACTGGACCATGTTCTTAGTAGCCAGGAATAGACAGGAATTGTGCATCTGACAGTGGCACAGGGTTCCATTTGTGCGTACATTGGTGTGATTGCACAGGCAGCGCTCCAAATCAAGTTATCAGTGACAAAATCTCTAGTAAATCTAAAAGTCTAAAGTTCTAAGAGTATACAGAATTCAGTCCAGTCTGATATTTTACCATCTATGTTTGCTGTAACATTTTGATGGGAAATTATGATGGGATTTCAGGTTGCAGCCTTTCATTGTTAGTGTAATTCCTGTTGCTTCCAATGAGGTAGTAAAGAGTAACTTACACAACATCACAGTTCCTTTATGGAAGGACTGTTGTGTTCATGAAATGTTAGGCTTTATTTTATTTATCTAAGACAAAGCAGAGCACAAATGAAACAATTTCCTGTGCTTCCTAAATAACTTTACTGTGTTTCACTGAACATAGTGCAGTCATCAAGTGTTTGAGGTATATAAATAACGAGAAGGACGTGGTTTTGTTTGAGTTCAGCAGATGAGCCAAGAAACTGAGCAGTAACACAACTTAAAACTTGGAGGTGATGTTGGTAAGATTCTGGGATGGTTGTGTCATGCATTAGCCTTGAGGGATTTTAAAATATTTTTGGTAAAACAGCAGAAAATTTAAAGAGGGGATCAAGCTGGCATGATGTAACCCATCTTGTCTTAATGCCTTTGCTTGTTTAAAAACTAGTCTAGGGTATTTCTACACAGATCCAATTGAAATTACAAGAAACATCACACTGCGTACAGCGTGCTAGGAGCTCTTGGGATGTCTGGTGAAATTTCAGAATTCTCCCTGTAGTCTGGTGAGTGATCTATTGTGAAACTTGATCAGGCAGGATTTGATCGCACTCTAAGTCAGAGCTGATGGGATTAAAGTCATAGACAGGAAGTCAGCACTGGGTGCATATTTGTGGCCTGGAGTAATAATTGAATTTTTCTAGAAAAAATAGTCCCAATGCTTTTTAAAAATTTTAAATATTGGACACAAGCTGCTAGCAAAGTGTGACTCATCAGTGACAGTGGACTTTGGTGTGTACTGTTAATGTCACAAAAACAAACAAATTTTTGCTTCTGGGTTAGAAAAAGGTTTTAGTTTACCATTAGTAAGACCGTTGGAATTTTGTTTAAAATTGAAACAATATAAATAAAATGTATTTGTACGTGAAGATAAAAGAATTTTTCCATGTTTTCATGGTACGAATGACCCATGCTTTTTTGCTACGTGGTTCACTTCTTCTGTGGATCAAGTGGAAACGTAGTATTCCTCGGTGCTGCGGAAAAGAGCTCTTGTTCTACGTGTGGGAAGAAAGGACAAGAGGAAAGGGACGTATTTTAATCATGTTTTCCTTTTCTTAACTCATCAAGGAAGACAATTTGACGGTTGCGCAACCGGCATTGTCGGATTCCCAGGGTTTGGATTCCCTGCTTGGTTCTGGGTCCTTGCCAAGGTGGCAGGATGTGGTGAGCCCCACGCTGCATTTCTGGGAGACTCAGAGTGCACACAGGCAGGATCAGTGGCAGGCACCAGTTCCAGCCTGTCCTGGACAACAACACACGGAGCAAACTCCGTCAGTCCCCGCTGCTACCCCAGGCAGAGGCCGCCTCTCCATCTGCAGCTGAGCTGATGTTTGACACTGATCAGCCTTCCTTGCATCCCATGAACGTTAGACACAGTTGTGTTCCCCTGTGAACTTGATTGTACAGGTTATAGTAACATTTTCTACCCCTCTAGGGATCTTTTCCAAAATATTATAACTAAAATGTTACGGTTAGAAGTGTGTATGATCATCTGTGCTCCCTTTCTGAGTATATTCTACCACACTGCATAGCCCACAGTAACGCACTTGCAAATCTTTTGTTGTTTGGCATTCAAAGATTTTTGAATAAAGGAAGTGGCATAATAAAAATACACCATTCTGAGAGTATCTCCGTGTAGATATTATGAATGGGTTTCCACATTTATAAACAAGCATTTCTTTAAATTACAATATTCCGAGCACTATTCTTTTTCAGAATCACAGGTGTTTAATTTGAATTTCTGAGTCAGTTGTTGTAATGGTTTGATATATATACTTGGAGAGTGCTGATCTAGTCTAGGCAAAAATAACCCAAACACAACAAAATGTTTCACAGTTTTATATTGCATTCAAATTGACATTTGTCTTTTAGCAAGATGACCTGGAGACTGCTTTATAATTTTTATGTGACTAAATTATGTAATTCATGGGAGGGAGAGAGGGAAAACTGATTTTTT